TCGAGGTGGACCCGAAGGCCGAGCTGGCCATGGAGGTCGAGATGGTCCCAGAGGGAGAAAGGATATCGGTGGACGAGATAATCTTAGGGATCCAGATGATCTTGGGGATCGAGATGGTCCTCGTGGGCACGGTGGTCCGGGGCGTCGAGACCCCACGAACCGAGATGGTTTGGGTGGCTGGCAAGGTGTTGACGGCCGGAGTGATCCTGGGGCAAGCCTAGGGGCCTTGGAAAACAATAAAGGCCGAGACGTTCCTCGGAGTCGAGGTGAGCCTGGAGGCCGAGCTGGTCATGGAGATCGAGACGGTCCTGGAGGTCGATTCAGTCCTGGAGGTCGAGACGGTCCTGGAGGTCGAGACGGCCCTGGATGCGGGGAAGATATCGGTGAACGAGACAGTCTTAGGCACCCAGATGGGCTTGGGGATCCAGATAGTCTTGAGGATCGAGATGGTCCTCAGGGTCGCAGTGTTGTTGGGCATCGAGACCCCTGCTGGCAAGGCCCTGATGACCGGAGTGATCTTGGGCCAAGTCTAGAGGCCTCGGAAGACGATAATGGCCGAGACGTTCCTAGGTGTCGAGGTGAGACTGGAGGCCGAGCTGGTCATGGAGGTCAAGACGGTCCCGGAGGCGGAGAGGATATCGGTGGACGAAACAGTCTTGGGGATCCATCCGGCCTTGAGGATCGAGATGGTGCTCGGGGTCGTAATGGTCCTGGGCGTCGAAACCGCGCGAACCGAGATGGTTTGGGTGGCTGGCAAGGTGTTGATGACCGGAGTGATCCTGGGGCAAGCCTAGGGGCCTTGGAAGACGATAAAGGCCGAGACGTTCCTCGGCGTCGAGGTGAGCCTGGAGGCCGAGCTGGTCATGGAGATCGAGCCGGTCCTAGAGGTCGAGACGGTCCTGGAGGTCGAGACGGTCGAGACGGTCCAGGAGGTCGAGACGGTCCTGGAGGTCGAGACGGCCCTGGATGCGGGAAAGCTATCGGTGAACAAGACAGTCTTAGGCACCCAGAAGGGCTTGGGGATCCAGATAGTCTTGAGGTTCGAGATGGTCCTCGGGGTCGCAGTGGTGTTGGGCGTCGAGACCCCACCTGGCAAGATCCTGATGACCGAAATGCTCTTGGGCCGAGCCTAGGACCCTTGGAAGGTGCTAAAGGCCGAGACGTTCCTGAGGGCCGAGATCGTCCTGGAGGCCGAACTGGTCGTGGAGACCGACACGGCCCTGAAGGCGGACAAGATATGGGTGGACGAAACAGTCTTGGGGATCCAGCTGGCCTTGAGTATCAAGGCGGTCCTCGGGGTCCCAATGGTCCTGGGCGTCGAGACTCCACAAACCGAGATGGTTTGGGTGATGATGCTGGGGACGGAGAAGATATCGGTGGACGAAACAGTCTTGAGGAACGAGATCCTGCAGATCGAGATGGTGCCTGGAAAGGTCTTGATGACCGAGTTGGTCCTGAGCGGTGCCTAGACGAATCGGGGGCTCAGGAAGTCCATAAAGGCCGAGATGTTCCTGAAGGTCCGCCTCGACCTGGAACACGGAACAACCCTGGATGTCGAGGTGGCCGTGGAGATCAGGGCGGCCGTGGAGGCGAAGGAGATCTTGATAGACCGGACCGTCTTGGGGATCGAGATGGCCTTGGGCATCACAATGGTCCGGGTCACCGAGGTCCTGGAGATCGAGATGGTTCTGGTGCTGGAAAAGGCCCTTATTACCGAAGTGGTCCTGGATTAATCTTAAGCGGATCGAGGGCCTGGAAAGGCCACAGCGGTCCAGATGTTGCTGAGGGTCGAGGTGGATCTGGGTCTCGTGACGGTCTCGGAGGCCGAGCTGGTAAAGGAGGTCAAGACCGTCCTGTAGACGGAGAGGATTTCGGTGGACGAGATAGCCTTGGGGATCGAGACGGTTCGCGACATCGAGGTCCTGCAGCAGGTCTGAACGGTGCGGGAGTCTCAGGTGGTCTGGGTACGGGATCCAAGTGCCAGAAAGGTCTGGATAGTCACGGGGGCCGTGATCGACATATGGACGGCCTTTCGTTCTGTCGTGACCATGAATCTGCCGCAACTGACGAGACGGTGTCGGTGTCAGAGAACGCCTCTAGCCACCAAGCCAGTCGCCAGAAGAACGCCCCTAAGAAGGGGCGCCACCATGGAGATACCCTGGAAGGGGACGGCCCGGAAGGAGACGAGCTGAAGAGAGACGACTTGGGGATAGAAGACCAGGAGAGAGACGACTTGGGGAGAGACGACTTGGGGAGAGACGACTTGGGGAGAGACGACTTGTGTGAAGCCAGCCTGGAAGATCAGGATGGGTCAGGCTGCGAGGGGTCGGGACCGTGTCAATTCGCGGACTCGGGGAGAGATGCTCCCAAGGGCCGGTCTGGGATGGGCGGTCACGTCGACAGCTCTACTGATGGTGTAGGTTCTAAACATCTCGTTTGGCGGGGCCCTACAACTCAACCCAGTAAGCGCGGTAAGCTCTGTTCGGGGTCCTCCTCTTTTGGTTCAGGAGCGAGCCCATCACTTAGTTCAGGGCTTAGCTCAGGACTTAGCTGGGGTCCCGGGTGGGGAAGGCGGCCAGGCGGTCAGCCGAGATCCTTCGTTAGCGGATCACAACCTGTTGGGGGTGGAGATCCGCGGCTGTACGGCCGCCACGAGCCGGTCTCGGGGAGCACGAGCGTGGCACCGGGGAAGGATATCCCTGTTTCACCTGACTCCTCCTCGGAGCATAACTATCTCTTGGCCCCACGAACAAAAGGGGCGGTGGCCGAAGAGACCGTGGACGACGAGGCCGTGGCCGAAGAGGCCTTGACCGAGGAGGAGGTAGCCGAAGAGGCCCCCACCGAAGAGGAGGTAGCCGACGAGAGGGTAGCCAAGGAGGCGGTGGCAAAGGCCCCAGGGAGAAGCAAGACCGGGAGTGACAGAAGCAAGCTTGGGAGCGACAGAAGCAAGCCCGAGAATGAGTTGGCGGAGGGACAGACACGCAGGGACGGCATGGCAGCGGCTGGCTCGGGTTCGGACATGGCAGATAACGTCTCCTTTGTATCTGGCACGTACTCTGTTCTCGATGCGAATGGCAAAAGAACGGACGGCGGAACGGAGCGCACAGGAGCGAGTGGATTGCCTATCGAGAATGGTCCGAGCGAGAGTATTACGGGTGAGAGTGCTCGTCGTGAGGAGACGGGGCGAAAGCCGGGGCATAGCGGGGGTCGTTCGGGTCACGGCCGCAGCCTGGTGCGCGATTTGGGCCCAAGCCGTGAGGAGTCCAGGTCCCGTCGGAGTTTGCTTGAAGACCCGCTCGACTACCGACCCTCTCGGAAGCACGGCGACCACCGCGGAACGCTGCAAGAAAAATGCCCTGGTGCAGACGCGAAGGCGAACGTGCTGGTCTCTGTGAACGCCAGCAGCTACCTCTACCAAGGACCGATAATCAGCAACGTTACCACGACCGCAGACGCACGGAGCCGCGCGGCCGAGACCTCTTCCTCCAGCGGGGACCCGCTACAAAGCAACCCCCTTCAAAGCAACGCAGCTTTCCCCGTAGAACCGCTGACTTCTTCCGACGCATTCCCCCGCCCTTCCTATCCCGACGCATTGCCCCGCCCCTACCCGTACCTGACCTCCCCCTACATGACCTCCCCCCCGTACCTGGACCCACAAAACGCAAACGGCCCTACCGCGGCTCTTCTTAACGCGGTTCCTCCCAACCCGGCTCTTCCCAATGCGCTGGCTGCTCCATATAGGACTGCTCCAGGTGAAACTGCTCCGGGTGCGCTTGCTCCAGGTAGGACTGTTCCAATCGCGGCCCCGCCTCATCGGACACCGCCAGAACCCCCGCTGCCGCCAGGCTCGGGCGCTCCCGGGAGCGTACCGGAGGAGTTACGCGGCGAACGGCCGCCGTTCATCCCACAGCCGGCGAATGCGGCATCTCAATTGAACGTGACGCTGTCGTCATTGCCGCCAGTTGTCATAGCCCCCATGAACGAATTCGCGCCTGTCTTCGCCCCAACCAACAATTATAACCCTGACCCCGGGTTCGATTCCGGCCTTGACCCCGGCGGCCCTGCCCCCGGCTTTACTCGCGAAACAGACCCCTACCGACCGGCGAAAGATTATACGCGAGGGAGAAGACACCCAGAGAGAAACAAACACCCGAAGGAGGCACAGGACGCCGCGCAGTATGCAGGTGGCCCGTGGACGGGCGACGACCCGCCGCCAGCGCCGATTTGGAACCGACCAGCTCCGTCGCTCCGAGACGCATCGGACGACGAGACCAGTCAGAACGGACCAGATGTGTTCGACTACCGGGAGGCACCGCATTGGAAGAGGCCAGACCGAGAGAGGCCGGACGGAGAGAAACTGGACAGCGACGACGAACCATTGCCGGTTCCGACGGCCTTGAACCTTGCTTCTGAAGGGGATCGAGGGGTGGGGTCTGGACCCTTCGACGACGCCTTCCCGACGACGGATTTACCGGTGCGAACTGGCCCTAATGCAAGACACAGTTTGGAGATGCCCCGGTCGGAGTACGAGGACCTGGACGCAAGTCCGGGTCACCGGAGCGACGGCAGACCCCAATGGCGGTCGGCGGCAGACGCGGAACCTCGGGGTCGCCGAGGATGGCAGGACCCGGGATTCGAACCCAGGACCGAGGGCTACCGGGACGACCGTCCGTCTCGGAGACGCACATCAGTCGGCCGCGATTCCAGCCGTGACTCGATCGGCCGCGTACGCCGTCCAGACGATGGACGTGTGCATACTCTGGAACACGGAGAATCTGTTGGCAGAGGTTCTCTCGGTAGGGGAAGGGCCTCCGGGGCGAGAGACTCGGGGGCTGGGGGCTCCGGTTCAAGAGAGGAATCCGACGGGAGACAAGCACGACGGCGGTACAGCAACCGCGGTGTGCCGAACAGTGAGGATGGTCGCCCCCAACTGAAGGACTTCCCCGTCACCAGCGACCCCGGAATCAACCATCCCTCCTATCCCGACCGACCCCACCCCGACCGGCCCTATCCCGACCGGCCCTATCCCGACCGACCCTATCCCGACCGGTCCTATCCCGACCGGCCCTATCATGACCGTCCCTATCCTGCCCGTCCGTATCCTGACCGTCCCTATTCTGACCGTCCGTATCCCGACCCTCACAGTCGAGACCCTTACTATCGAGACCTCAACGATCGTGACCGCAGTCCTTGGAATCGCGACCGCAGTCCTTGGAATCGCGACCGCAGTCCTTGGAATCGCGACCGCAGTTCCCGGGACCGCAGTCCTCGAGCCCGCAGTCCTCGGGATCCGGAGCGCGCCCCGTGGGCTGGGGCGGACGGCTATGCAATAGAGCCGGTATCGACTGGACCGCCCATCCGTAGTCGCAACAGCGAGGCAGGCTTGGACTCGAGGCACTCTGTTGATTCGGGTCGTCTGCACAGTAACGGGCCGTGGCATCACATTGCGTCGGAGGACGCGGACAACGCCTTGATGAGTAACCTCGACACTGAAGTTCCCAGCATTACAGTTTCCAGCATTTCAGTTTCCAGCATTGCAGTTTCCAGCGTTGCAGTTTCCAGCATTGCGGTTTCCAGCACTGAAGTTCCCAGCACTCAAGTTCCCAGCACTCAAGTTCCCTGCACTGGAGTTCCCAGCCCGACACTGGGCAGTATGGAGATAGAGTAGCAAGACAGGCACTGCGTAATTAGTCTTGTTTCAGTTCGGGCGCAGAACTCGGCGGCGGTATTGCGGGATGTGATATTTGCATTACAAGGTGTGGATGGCCAGCACATAAAGTACCGTGAGGAGGTGGACATGTTTCTGGTTGGCGAAGGCGTGCCGATGAACGGGACGACGCGGACCATGACGGCTCGGATGGCCCTGGCGGGTACATTGTACCGGCTGTTGATGCGTCAGCTATGTGTGGGTGACCAAGCTGTGGAGATCGGTGGCGGTCAATGCCCTATGTTGGAGTGGAAGTGGGATGGAAAGGTGGATGGAGGGAAAGGGGAGTGTGCGAGAGAGGGGTATTGCAAGTGGCGTACGGGCATGAGTCTGTCTTTGGAGCCGTTTAGTACGGAAGCATACACCGTGGCTAGCGGCTTGCATGAGGGTGAAATTGCAGGGCATAGTGTAATGGGTGGTGTGGTGTACTCACGGATCTTCCACAAGGTCTTTGAGCCGGTGGCCTCGGTAGTTCACAAGGCTTTTGTGGAGGCGGTACGGAAGGAGTTGGCTCCGTACGTACTCTTTCTGGGAGAGTTGGAGCGTGACCTGGCTGCGATGGAGTCAGAGTTACATCTGGAGCGAGTCACAGGCGGGTTGCCATCTGCTAAGCTGGCCTTTTCTAACGCCTTGCTGCGCCGGGTTTTGGTCAAGGTCAAACCTGGACTGAAGCTGGTGTATGTGCTCACCTCCCTGGCCACTTCTGTGGGGGCGCAGACGGGTGGTCAATTGCTCGAGACACTGTATCGCCTGCTTTATACAGGAGACCCGACTTGGGACGAGCTCGCTCGCTCGGTCTTCGTGGCTAGCAGCAAACCCTTTTTGGACTTTGCCACGGTCTGGCTGGAAGAGGGAGACTGCAGCGGGGACGAATACGACGAGTTCTTTGTTAAGAAGAACGAACGAGTCACTACTGACCAGTATTTCGCCGAATGGGAGAATATTTACCAGGGCAGGTTGCACCGAATTCCAGGATTCATTCGAAACGGTCTTGGCGGCATCAGTCAACTGCAGGACATACTGGAGGTCGGGAAAGCGGCTGCACTCATTAGACACGTTAACGGCCCAGGCTGCTTCCACAAGAACCTATCGAGCCACCCCGTCGTTAACAGCCACCCATCAAACAACACGGACCAAGAAATCACCAAGTCCATCTTCCACAGACCACTTCTTGATGGCAAGTACTTCGATCGATCTTCACGACTCGCCACCGACCAACCTCCACCCGTCGTGAAAGAGGTACCTCTCTATACCGCAGACAGATACCGAGGAAGGGACCAGGATTATACGACGCTATTTAACTGCTTAAAAAGGTGTAAAGTACTTCATCTAAGAACGTATGACCCACGCTTCACGCCACGACTACCACCACGACCACCTCCATGGTCCACTAAGACGAATGATTTTAGGCTTAGAACGATGATGCTGGGGAGATATGAACTCCTCGGTCACTTGAACGTAATCAAAGAGTGAGCAACCAGGCCGGTCCCCAACGTGTTCTTCTTTAGTTGTATGCTACTGAGTGCCGGCGATTTTGCCACCACTCTGATAGAGAAGACCACCGAGATAGCCGTCAAAAATAAAGTGCCTGACGAGGTCTCTCAAGGAGAGCTATCTTACTGCTTAGAGCAAAGCATTAAGACCAGTAACATCGACACCGGGTCTTGACCGGACCGTCTGTCACGATGCATGTGTGTGTTCATTGATTGGCTTTAGGTAATGTTATAAGGCGCCATGATCGCGAGAAGCTAAATCGATTGGAGTGTTACCATTTAAATGCAGACCTTCGATTTGGGTCTTCGGTCTGGGACTATGTCACCATAGATTATGACATTCGCGATTTACCCCTTTCAGTTTTATTGCCCAAGACCTTAATGATTCAGCTCCGGAAGATAGCCGCTTTCATCTGGAAACTCAGGCGAACAATATACCAACAGCATGCTTCTTGGGTCTCCGTCATGAAAAATGGGTTCTTGATGAAATTCCCCGAAGTCAACGGACTACTGAACGAAGCGCAGTGTTCAAGAGCAGAATGTCTGAAAGTCCTAGCCAGGTTCGAGTATTTTATCTTTCATGAAGTCATGGATCCCATGTGGAAGGAGTTGACCGAAATTTTGCAGGATGATCCCTGGCCTGACATCAATTCAATCAGAAAGATTTTTGGCGCTTTCATTCAGAAGTTTAGATCTCATTCCATGATCGACGCACACGTGTGCGATGGGAGCGCTACAAACATTATTGGCCAAGAAACAATCAATGACACGCTAGATCTCTGCAATGAATGCGCTGTCATCTTGGACACGCTGCATATGGCTGCTTATGAGCTCGTTGTCGACAAAATTCACTCCAACGCCGAAGGTTATATGAGCTTGGAGGAGATAGACCAGCAAATTGAGCAAGACCGGCATTGCTTTGAAAGCGAGCACTTACCGCTCCTGGAAGCTTGGAGGGAGCAGTGGGACGAGTGCTACGAGCGATTTCAACATCTATTCTGTTAAAGGATGGTTGGGTTGGGCACGAAAAAAATGGTTGGGCAAATGTCTTGGTGGGCTGAGCCGATCAAGGAGAGGAGGGGAGGGAATATTGTGGTCATCACTTGATTCGTTCGGACGGAAATAAACAACAGGACCACATAGATCGTTTGGCGGGTCGTCGGACTTCGGGAATCTTGTTACAGGACCTCGTTGACTGCTGACTGCTAAGTAAGAGCTCAGCGGGAGGCAATAGAGGGTCATAGGGAATGGCTTGATCCAGATCCGGAGCCATGCGTAGGTGAGGGGGAGGCGAATTCTGTCGCCGTTGAATCAAGCCCGCTTCGCTGGTGGCAGATTTCATGCTGGTAAGTAGCGCACTTGCCGGTCGCGGTGGTATCGCCGCGCCGCTATGCATTGGCGAAATCCGGAATGGAGAATGTGGCGCAGTAGATGGTGTTGCAGCCGCTTGGACCAAGTTGTTTTGAGAGTGCACGTTTTTCCCAGCTGATGTGAACGGGTTTTGCTTCATAGATTGTGTAGAAGAATGCGTCACAGGTGTCTGATCGATGGGTAGACGTTCTGCGGCCCCGCGATCCAGCACAGATGGCTCCATGGGCCGTTCCGTGGTTGTATCTCGTGGAGAGGTGCGCGCTGACTCCGTGGTCGTGATCCCGAACGGCGTCCCGCCCCCCAGCGGCGTCCTGCCAGTCTGTGAGTAGGGCCCATACGTCTGAGCTACGCTGCTGCCTCCGCTAGCAAGAGTAGTGAGACGACTTCGCTCGCCGGCAGTGGGGACAGCGGGGTATCCAAACGCCGGTGGGGACGGTCCATAAAGTGTCGGTCGCACGTGACTGCGGCAGTCGCCACTTCCCGCAGTCGGTCCCAGGTGGCTTCGCTTGCCAGCTGGTCGTGTGGCGTTTTGCCATAGAGTTTCCTTAGCCATGCAGGGGCTTATAGGAGGCCGCGGTGCCTCGGGAGCAGCAGCTCGAGGAAGACGTGAACGAGAAGCAGTCCCCTCTCGAGCCTTCTCCAGCCGCAACAAGGCAGGAACACCGGCCACGGGCGAGCGACTGTCACGGCTAGGCGACAAAATCCCCGACGCCCCATTCGACTGCCCATCGGGCGTCTGGAATGGGGTGCCCCGCAACCCGTAATCACTGTGTTGCTGCGTGACCAACGGGTGTCGCATCTCCAACGGTGGACGCATCTCCATCGGTTGACGCGGCTCCATCGGCTGGCGTATCTCTAGCGGTTGTCGCATATTTAGAGCCTGGCTCTCGAACATCGGATGGGAGCCCTGGACCGGAGCCGGGACTGGAGCCGGCCTGCTAAGAGGAGTCGGTCTCTGAAGGGGCGCAGGCCCCTGGATGGGAGTAGGTGGTTGGATGGGTGTTGGCCTCTGAAGCGGAGTACCCCGGATGGGAGTCGGTCTCTGAAGGGGCGCAAGCCCCTGAATGGAAGTAGGTGTGTGTTTGTGAATAGGAGTACCCTGAGTAGGAGTACCCTGCAAGGTAGTACCTTGGATGGGAGTACCCTGAATAGGAACGCCCTGCATGGTAGTACCTTGAATGGTCGTACCTTGAATGGTAGTACCTTGCGCAGGAGTATGTGGTTGGATGGGTATCGGCCTTTGAAGAGGGGTACTTTGGGTAGCCGGCTGGACCGGTGTTAGCTTCTGAAGGGGAGTAGGTCTCTGACGGGGAGTAGCTGGAGTAGGTGACTTTCCAGGAGTTGGTTTCTGGGCAGTTTGAGTAGCGTGTCTCTGAAGGGGAGCCGACGGTGGGACAGAAGCGGGTGGTCCAATCGGAGTGAGTGGCCGGAAGGGCTGGATGGGAGTAGCCCTTTGGATGGGAGTGAGTCCACCCACCGTTCGGGGTGCGTAGGTGGCTCCGGCAAGGAGGGTCTGCATTGGCCGATCAGCGTACTGCTGGTTTGTTGGACCATGGACTCGATCTGCTGTCTTGCTGCTGTCGTGCCCGAGGGCGAGCGGTGCGTCGGCTCGATTGTGAAGTTGGGAAAGAGACTGCGGACCAAGGGGTGGTTGGTGGCTAGAGACGACGAAGTTCGGTGCCGGACGAGTGCTCGGGAACGAAGGAGATTGGTTGTGGGCGACTGTTAACGTTTGACTCGGCTTCTGCACGAGATTCGGCTGCCTATTCGAAGAAATCGAACTTGGTCCGCATTTCGTCTGGAGAAGATCGCCACCCACGGAGGGTCTGGGACGATCAGAAGCCTTCAGCCACGTGCCCATTGCTCCCCCGCGGCTGGGTGGTAAATTCTGGTAGGTTAGCGTACCCTGGCTGCTGGCGACGCCCGGGTTAGTCGGGTCCAAGGGACTGACTAAGTGCATTGGCTTGCCACTGGAACCAGGAGTTGTCGGATGGCCGCTGGAGCCGGAGCCGGGAGCATTTGCTGTAGGAGTCAGGCTTGCCGGGGTTGCTGGAGCCTTGTTGCCGTTAGCATCTGGGAAGGTCCTTGAATCAGGGCTGTCGCGCTGTCGACGTTCATGGGCAAGTCGTAAGGGAGACCCCACGGTGATCATTTCGTGGCGCCCGAACGAGAGTGCAGGTACGATTGGAGTTGCATTAGGTGCTGTGATGGACTGCACCGTCCGAGGAAGGGCAGCCTTGGTCGGAAGCGAGGCTTGGGTCGGAAGAGTGGCTTTGGCCGGAAGAGAGGCCTTAGTCGGAAGAGAGGCCTTAGTCGGAAGAGAGGCCTTGGTCGGAAGAGAGGCCTTGGTCGGAAGAGAGGCCTTGGTCGGAAGAAGAAGAAGGGGTGCTTTGGCTGGTGTCGGGGGCGGAGCACGCTTCTGGGCGGCAGCGGTTGTCGGCTGGAGCCTAAAGGCCTCATTGATCGGGGCTGCAGCAGGTCCGGACACGACAGGTCTGGGGACAGGAGGTCTAGACAGTGGGACGGTTGGACGCGTCGCCGTTGGCCGCGTCGGTGGAAGGGAGGTTGTCTGATTCCCAGGAGCTGCATTTGCTCGCAGGACGGGAGAGTCTCGACTCTGGCGCTTCAAATCCGTAGGAGCCCGCACCGCCAGCGACTTACTAATCGCACTCGGTCTAAGTGCATTTGTTATAGGGCTGACTCCGCTCGACTGCGGCCTGCTCGACTGGGGCCGAACTCCGGTCGAGAGTGGCTGGACTCCGCTGGAGAGTGGGACTCCGGTTGAGAGCGGCCGGACTCCCGTTGAGAGTGGTCGGACTCCGCTGGATTGGGAGTTGATTCCGGTCGACAGTGGTCTGAGTCCCGCTGACTGTGGTCTGTCTGGGGCTCCCAACGGAGCGCTGAAGGAGGCTCGCCTGCTAGGGACGACCTTCGGCGGCGCCAAAACACGCTCCGACGCAGAAGGCAACACTGACAACCCCAAAGTCCCCGGTTCGAGGCGAAGGCGTGCTGTGTATGACGAATGAGACCCCACCGACGAGGAATCTTGTGGCGAAGAGTCCTTCACGGACGCTGATCGTGGCGACGCCTCTCCCGCAAGAGATCGCACCACCCCGTCGCCTCTTAAGGCCGGCTGGGCCGTCTGAGCCGACTTGGTCGCCCGGGCCGGCAGGTACGGCGCTCCGGAGCCCGGCTCCCGCTTAGCCTCAGGTACCCGACTACCAACAGGCATACGTTTCTCAGCAGACATCCGCTTATCCACTTCGTCCCGCACATCCTGTAAAGTTTGCCTGGTGGTACTCCTAGGAACCTCTGCCGCTAAACCGGGTCCTCGTCGTTCCAACCGGCTTTGTTCCAACCGGCTTTGTTCCACCCGCTCGTTTAGCCGGTGGTCTAGAAGTTGTGCTGACATGTGAGTAATAGCAGGCTGGTAGTTTCCAGCCATGAGCGGGACGCCGGAGGAAGTTTGGTAGAAGCCCCGTTCCGCGACGGCCTGCTCCGTTGCGAGCGACTCTGTTGCAAGTCGAGCAGTGGCGGTGCCGGGTCTGGATCCAACAGGTACGTGGTCGCTAGCAACTGGTCTGTGGGTGCGGGCAGAGAAGTCCAGGGCCGGCACTAGACTTAATTCGTCTTTTAGAGTCAGCTTAGTCCTTTGCGTCGCCAACTCTCTCGTAGAGCTCTCTGCTGGCCGGACCGCAGCAGGCACGGGTGTCGGAACTATCGGTGCCGGACCCATTACTGCCGGACCTATGGGAGCCGGACCTATGAAAGCCGGAGCGACCATAGTTGGGGCCGCCATAGTCGGAGCCACGGGAGGCGGAGCGAGGGGAGGCGGAGCCACTCGCGCTGGAATTGGAGCCAAAGTCACCGGAGCTGGAGCTGCCGGAGATTTGATTAGGTTAGCGTCGGAGCGGCGCGTCAAGGAAACGCTAACTCCAGCGGAGACCGGTGCAAAAGTGGGAGTGCTAGGAGTGTCCAGACGAGTGGCCGCCAAGGCAGATCCAGAGTTCGGTTTCCAAACGGCTGGGACGGTAATTCGAGAGTCTCGCCAGGACAGGCCCGTTTGCCTGGGAGCTATCTGATCCTGCCGCCAAGACGGCTGATCCTGCCGCCAAGACGGCTGATCCTGCCGCCAAGATTGTTGGACAGGTTGGTCCCTGCGGACTAACCGAGAAGTCAAGCTTTTGAGGGGTGAGGGAACCGCGTCATGAATACCAAATACCGGCCTGGATAGGTCCAGTCGGGGCACCAGCTCGGCCCGTCGGATAGGCACCACTCCTGTGGACACAGGCCGAGTGCTTCTCACCGAAACGTCCAACTCCGATGCGTTGGGAGCCAGGTCTGACACGAGAGGAATCAACTCAGACATAGAGCGTACCAGCTCCTGCCGTATCACAGGCCCATCCGACGCCAACGGGTCCAGTTCCGATATTGTCCGCGTAGGCTCCGACGGGTAAACGTCCGACATGTAAAAGTCCAATGAGTAGTGGTCCACCGGACGCAAGCCAGACGGGTAGAATGGAGTAACTGATCGCGGCACCATCGACTGCATACTTTCACCCCCAGCCCGCGTCGTTCGTGGAGTGAGATCCACCTCCCATGGTGACGGGAACATCCCGGCGGGATGCACTTCTACAGACGCGTCACGATGCACATCGGGTATCAAGTTCGCTTCGGGAATTAGATTAACATCAGGCATCAAGTTCGAGTCGGCAACCATGTTGGCGTCGAGAAGCACGTTCCCGTCAGGAATCAAGTTGGCGTCAGGAACCAAGTCCGAATCGGGAATTAAGTTCGCGTCAAGAAGCAAACGTATGCCCATGTCAGGTACCAAGCCCATGTCAGAAAGCAAACCTGCATCGTGACCTAGACCCATTTGGGGAAGCAGACCGACATCAGGCACTAGGCCCAGTTCAGTCAGTTGCATTTGCTCGCGTAGTCTCATAACCTCTTCAGTGAGCAGTCCGCTTGGAACCATCAGCGAATCCACCCCGCCAGGTGCCGGCATGGTGAAGCCAGGAGCCGGCACGGTGAAGCCTGCCATGTTTAAACCAGCCATGTTCAAGCCGGCCATGCTGAAACCGTTAAAACCGGACGTTGAGAAGTTGGCGAACTCCGGCCCCGGGATGAGTAGTTGAGGGTTCGCGTTGATGGAGGGCATCGCGAGAAGTGCGAGTTGTTGTGGCGTTAATACCGGCTGCAGTCCCGCCATCTGGTCGGGTACAACGGGGTAAGTCGCCAGGGCGGTCGCGAGGGGATCGTCATCGGTTCGTGCTATGCCCATAGTCCTTGTCTCTGGGACGTCAGTAGTCGCCTCCGTTCGACGGTTGGATGAGTCGGGTCGGGCTTTGGTGGGTCGGGTGCTGGGTGGAACGGTCGATGACGACAGGTTGGTGACCGAGAGAATGGGGATGCCGGCGTCCTTCATGCGCTTGGTGTCGAGTTCGGCGCTCGACAAACCCTTCGAGTCTCGGGTGGAGTCACGAGTGGTTTCCGACAACTTGGCCGCGGCCACCTCGCTTTCCGCCAGCCCGGTCAGCGAGGTCGGGGCCGTCCGGGAGGTCGTCTGGGTCGGTAGTCGGTAGACATCTAGGTCGCTTGCTGTGGCGGGTCCGTCGTCCTCAGGCAGGATCTCCAGGGGGGAGAGTGACTGCACAAACGCGTGTGGCACGACCAGTGGAGCGCCGTGCCGCTCGCGTCCGGTCGGATCGGCTCGCGATGGCGCAATGATCTGGCAGTCCCCGAGGCGGTCACCGACCTCCGGCTTGCGTCCCGCCTTTGGCTCGGTTTCGGCGTCGTAGGCCGGCTCATAGCCGGCCGCCTCCTCATAGTCGAGGTCACTGGCATCCTCGTGGTCGTCCAAACCGCTTCCGTCGTCCTGGTCACGATCCGTTGCGTCCTGGTCGGTCGCGTCCTGGTCGGTCGCGTCCTGGTCATGGTCGGAGCCGGAGCGGCGGTAGTCGGCGAAGCCTCGATCACGCGGGCCGCTGCCTTGACCCGAACGTCCCGGTTCGGGCCAAGGTGTCTGTTGAGCGTCGTCGGTGTCGTTGAGGGCCTGGAGAATCTGTCGTTGCGCGAGTTCGCGCACTTTGTCAAGTGAGAGGCTACCGCCTTCGTTAGCGAAGCCGACTACGACGGCCACGGAACGCGTTCATCCTCTTCACTGCTGGTCCGTTCTGGACCAGGCGTCGAGTCAGCCTCATGGACGTACTCGTAGAGCCGTTCAGCATCTGTGTCCACCGTGCGACTTGAAACCTGGAATTCCTCAACCTCTTGCATGTCCGTTGGTGTTGTTAGCAACGGACTGATTGCCGCCTCCTCGCCACCCCCCGGACTTGCCTCCTCCGTAGACGTCACCGACCGACCGTGATCGCTCTCCACCGGATACGATACCTCGCCATCCTCCTTCTTCCTACCATCCTGCACGTAGCTTGCTGGATGATAACTTACTGGCGGCTGGTAACTTGCTGGAGGCTGGTAACTTGCTTGAGGCTGGTAACTTGCTGGAGGATGGTAACTTGCTGGCTGATAACCTACTGTGTGATAACCTGCTGTGTGGTACCCCACTGTCAGGTCCCCAGCCTGATCCCCAGCAGCGGGATCCAAGCTCATCGGAGGGTTTGTGCCTACAGGGTCCATCCCCATGGTACGATCCGCGCCGGCAATGCGGTCCAGTCCTGCAGTCTCAAATCCGGTGCTGCTTCGCAAAATGTACTCGTCCCCACTGCCGGGCCGTCGCTGCGTCGGCTCACTGTCTGTGAAGTCGGAAAGTACTTCGTGACTTCCCTGGCCTCGAACCCAGTCCTGTCCGCTCCGAACTTCACAGCTCGGCTTCAAATGCGCACGTCCATCAGAACCCTCCGAATAGCGGTCCGTACTCGCACTGCGGCCCGGTCCTCCAGTCTGCTTCGCCTCTGCTTGCAAACCACTCGGTCGGAAGTCGCTGCCGAACTGCCCAGTGGTGCTGCCGAACTGCCCAGTGGCGCCAAACTGCCCGGTGCCAAAGTCTCTGGTGGGGTCGTCGGAGTCGGTTTCATAATCCTCGTCCGGAGTAAGGCTGTCTCGTCCGTCTCGTTCATCTTCCCAGACATGTTCGTCTTCCCAGACGTCTTTCTTCGGTCTCTGATCGCATCCATAGACGGAAGCTGCGACGGTCTTCTCACGAGGCAGACCCCTTGCCGGAACTTTCATGGTCCCATGTTCGTTCTCGGATGGTTCGGTATCAGTGGCGTGACCGTCAACAATGGCGGGCATATAGGGATCGAACCCGCTGTCATCACCATCTTGAAAGCGGTAATACACATCCGAGGAATCGCTCTCGTCCGGCGTGAACTGGTCTTCACCATTGTCCAACCCCTGCGACTGAAATCCAACCGCCGGGAACTCTGCCGTCTTGTACTCAGTCGTGTTCTCGTCTTCGTCCTCCGCAACCACCCCAGCCTCATCTACGTCGTCCTCGTCCTCGTCTGCGTTCCGGATCTCTCCTTCAAAATCGTTAGAATCAACAGATTCTAAATCTTCCTCTAACTCCACACAGCTCCCCCGCGCACTCTCGCCACCTTCGGAAACAACCCCTTCACCTTCAGAATCAGCTCCTTGAAAAGCATCGGCCCTTTCTGTGCCAGAGGCCCCCATGCCAGAGAGCTCCAGCTTAATACCGGAACCCTCCAGCTCCATGCCAGATGCTACTAGTTCGATTCTAGATGTTTCCAGCTCTATACCCGATGCTTCTAGCTCTAGCTCCATACCAGATGCTTCTAGTTCGATTCCAGATGCGATCAGCTCCACACCAGATGCTTCAAGCTCTATACCAGATGCTTCAAGCTCTATACCAGATGCTTCTAGTTCTATGCCAGATTCTTCCACCTCTATTGCAGACGCTTCCATCTCTATTCCAGATAGGTCCACGCGGGACGCTAGTTGTGTTTCTTCGACGGCAAAACACGAATTTTGGCTTAGATGATCGTATAAATCGCTTTTAATGACTGCCGAGCCGAGAGGGTCGGTGTGGCAATCGAGACCCAACCGACTGCTTGATATATCTACATTGGTTGGGCTAAAATCGATCCCGTTCACAGGGGTGCTAAAACTGCCGTCGTCGTTTGCTTCTTCATCATTGAAGCCCGTTCCGTCGCTCGAAATGGCGTCGTCGTCGTCGTCGTTTAAGTCCGCATAACCTCTTGGTTGATAATCACCATCCCGGTGGTAGCCATCATCCCGGTTGTAGTCACTACCCCGGTGGTAGCTACTACCCCGGTGGTAGCCATCTAGCTCGCGCTCCGTTTGAGTGGGAGGGCGAAACTTCTCGGAGCTTCGACTTGTGGTCAGCAACTTGGGAATGTCTGGATCCACGGATGGGCAGTTGACGTCGTCGCTATCCGTGGGGGCCGGGCTTGGCGCCTCCTCGTGCTCCCAAGCCCTCCGTTCTGCCTCACCGGACCACATGTCCACCGACTTCACGCTCTCTGGCCGCTCTCTAACTGGCTCTTGGGCTACGGGCACACCGTCTACTGAAGTTCCGTCGGACTCTCCTTCAGGCTGTCCCTCAGATGATGGGGTGTATGCTTCCTGGTCCACCACCAATTCCGCGGCAGAAATCATACCTAATATTAATTAGTCAGCCTTTCGGTGTTTCTGACATAGAGAACCGCTAACCGCATGCTTGTGACATGAGCACTGACACCTTATGACATGGTTACTTTCATTTGAGCCAACAAACGTCTGTTTCGGGTCCAGCCTGTGTTCCGGACCGGTTGGACTAAATCGTCGACCCACTTCTCGCGAACTTTCCCCCACTGCTCGCGAAGATTCCCCCACTGCAACCCCCAGCCTTGATCGTCCCACTGACCATTTCCACTCACCCGTCGCGCCCCCTTCCCGATACCCCCGCAGCAACTGCGACGCTCGTTCTTTCATTCGAGCGTGCGAAGGGCCCGCTGTCCGCCGCGCCAAGATCTCTGCAACAGCCGCCTCAACCGGCGATCTGCGAACTCGAGCAAATGGTCGCCAGCCCTGTTCGATCGGCAGGCCAAATGATCCCCGATCATAAAATGCCGCCTGGTCGCGGGCCGCGATCTCATCGCGCCCCGCTTCCTCAAAACCGAGAATCGCTTCTTTTATCGCGTTGTACACCGCCCTGGAAACTACCTGCTCTATGTGCGCCGTGCCCACCTCCTCCCCCACTTGCCTGTGCCCGGAGAGGCCGTGCCCAGGGAGGTCATGTCCGGACCGGCCGGTGTCAGGGTCGTTTGCAGCAGCGATTCGCTCCCACTCGCTCGTCGTCACGCTTGGCAGCTGGAGGCCGGCCGCTCTCAGCTGTGAGCTAGCTATTCGTACTGCAAAACATGGAGTTGTTGGTGGACGGACAGCCCACACACGTGTACGGACAATTTATACATGTGTGTGGACAACCCACACGTGTGTGTGTGGGCGGTGAGGGGTATTTACGGGCGGAGTCCATAACTTGGAGCACATCAGTGCTCTTTTTGTGCTTGAGTGCTTGTTGTACGGTGTCTGAACGGTACATGTTGATGTGTCAAGTGGTCGGTGAAATGGTGCTGGCAGTTGGTGCAGGGAAAAAAATTGAACTGGCTGGGCGTCGAGATGGCGTCGATGCTTGATTGGTTATTGGGGTATGTGCACCGCTACATTGAGAACTTCATGGAGCCAATAACGGGAGGTCAGTTATCGCTGGCAGGATTGTTACTGGGGAAGTTGACTATTGAGAATGTTCAGCTGAAGCAGAAGATAATGGATTTCATGCCGATGCCGATGAATTTGCATTTCCAGTATATCGGGACGATAAAGTTATCGTTGCCGATATGGTCGTTGTTTACTTCGCCGATCCATGTGGAGGTGAAGGACGTGATAATGGTGGTGGGGACGAAGCAGTTGAAGGACTGGAATAAAGAGGCATGGGAAGCGAGTTACCTGCCGGCGAAGAAGCAGCTGTTAGCGGGCAACGAAGGTTCGGCGTTCGTAGCATCAATGGAGGACGGTTTTCTATGGCGAACACTTATACGTTTGGGCTCAAATGTAAAGGTGGAGGTGTCGAATGTTCAAGTGCGATTCGAAGATTGGTATGGTTGCAGCAAACCCTATGCGCTGGGTGCGACCGTCCAGAGTTTGTTTGTCAGCAGTGTACACAACGAAATAATTCCCAAAGCCGAACATGACTATGCCAGGACCGGACACGCCGCTTACAGTGACGCAAATATCATCCGGAAACAAGTCGATATCCAGGGTGTTAGTGTGTACTGCGACCAACTTGTCTTCCCCGAAGACTCGCCCGTACCTGCCGGCGGCCTAACAGGCAAGCTGACGGACGGCAAGAAGCGATGCATTGCCTTCCGACCGTCGCACCGTGTCCGCGGTATTGCGCTGGGTCGAAAGAGTGTGCGACGACCTCCCGGAGGTTCACCGCGGCGTGACGAGCCTACGAACGTGGCCTCGGCCGCAGAGGCAAGCGGGGCCGCCGCTGCCCAGGTGGCTAACAACCCGATCCAGGCTGGCAAGGGGTTCTTCAAGTCCATGTGGAATTGGGTCAAAGGCGAGGTGGCCGAGGATGTAACCAACGGTGATGCGGACACGGGTGGTGGTGGTGGTGTGTCTGGAGGTGGTGGGTCACGACGTAGCCCACCGGGACAGATGCATAAGATCGGGCAGATCCCGGGCACATTTTCCATCGACGGCCGTTTCCCCTATCGAGATGTCTTTGGCGAGCTGTGCGAAGTGCGACTATACGAACCACCCGTTACGGGCGCGGAAGGTCACTGGCATACGGCCATGGATTTGCTAGATGAGGTGACTACCGCAAACAATAACCTGGTACACGAAGAGGATGCGGCGAAGGCAGGAAAGCAGATCGATCGTTTGCTGGGAATTCATCAAACGAATCTGCAGAAGGAAATGGAAATTGGTGCCATAAATCGCACCCAGTTGCCCCCTGAAATTGATCCAAGTACGAAGTACAAGAAGGAGAAGCGCAAGGAAGAAAAACCGGACCCCAAAAAGCGTTTTGGTCTCATGCAGGAAACCGAGGTTAAGGGTCTGCCTATGCCATCGTTGCGCGTGCGTGCAGATCGCGTTAATGAAATGAAGGCGCTGATGCATGAAGCATTGGATGCTTTTCATGAATACATCCTTCCGCCACGTGACTTGACTGTAGTTTTGTCGCTATGTCTCCTTCCTGTGGAAAGCCGGGCGGATAATGGTCAGCATACGCTCAAGGACCGTACGACGGAGGCGACCCGGAACTTCATCTATCGGTCCATGCAGCGTGGCAAGGAGCAAATGGACGTTGAAGAGAAGCCGTCGTTTTGGAAAGATAAATTGTTTGGCTGGTTGCCTAAGATGGGACACGGTGGGGCGCAAGCTCAGACGATGGAGAGTATGCAGGACATCGGCCATCGTTTGGATTTGGACGCACCCGTGGCTGTGGATGAGGAGCCTGAACGAGGGGGCCAGACGTTGAATTTGCTCCCCATGTGTCGAGTGGACGTGGACGTGTCAACGATGCGCCTAACGTTGTCCACCAAACAGATCGAGCAACTGCTAGCCTGGGTGGAGATCTATGGGAATTTATACCCCACTTGGTGTACGGGTATGATTGCGAATTTGGAGAAGCCTCGGCCACCATACGAGGCAGCTCAATTGTATCTGGACGCGTGGTTGGTAAAAATGTGTTTGATGAAAGGCACCGTCCCACCGGACACTATGGAGGGACCTTGGCCTGTGAATAACTTGACGGACAGTCAGAAGCGGATAATATTGTGGTGTTCGAAACTTGAACTGGCTTATCAGAGTGCCAGCATTCTGGCGCTACGCAAGGAGGCACTTGAGCGTTGGCGCCATGATGACTTTAGCCGACAGACGGCGAATGGAAATTGGTTTTCCAGTTGCTGCCGACGACCGAGTGAACCTCGAGCTAACACTCTTGAAGCTACATTGAGCGGCGTAGGGGTGAAGGGACAGGATTTGGCTGCGCAAGATGCGAAGGAAATTCAGGAGCTACAGGTTAATACGATGGAGGAGCTACATAAGATTCTGATATCGGAGACCAAGAATAGTCTGCGAACGATTGTTTTCTCGACTGACATTTACGTTAATCTGTTTCTGGCCGACGCCCAAATTTATTTGGATCTCGCACACGTGAGCTACGGACCCGCCTCGACTGTGGGTACGAGTCCAAAGTCGGGTTCGGGTTTCGGGCTTAAGACGGGGACGGGGTCAGAAGGAAACACTCCACCGCGATTGTCGTGTACGCCCATTTATGATAACACAATCGACCTGGGAATTTTGGTGGAGGGTGTGGCGCTGAACTTGATGATCAAAAGCGACAAACCCAGCGGCTATATGTCTCTCAACTGCGACGTATATGGAGCCACAGTCCTTACCATTGCCAACTTCCTGGCGCCAGTGGGCCCGACGCCATTTGAGACGCTAGATAGTAACTCTTCCCAGAAACAAGAGCAACTGAAACAAGCAAGAGCGCGTTTGCTCAAACACCTGGCAGAGGGCCGTATGATGGCAGACGAAGAGGTCATGAAGTTCGTTGCTGACTCGCTGGCCGCGCAGACGCGACGCCAACGTGGAAACGTCTGGCGAAAGGCGCGCGGTAGCAAGGATCTCGCTTCGCAGACAAGCATCGACCTGTTGTTGATGGTCCACCGCAGCGGCTGGAGCGACGACTCGGAGGTCCGCATGACAACACCGCGGGTGGACAATGGACATCACCACCATCATCGGCTGGTCCAGTTCATCACAGGCAAGTCGGGATCAGCCATGTCGGCGTTATCGCAGTTTCTGCGCGAGCGAGCCGCCCCGTCGCTCAACTGCAAGATGGCCATGCACATGTACCGTCTACCAGACGTACCCGACATGGACGTATCTATAGATGTTCGCGAAGACATCACCGTACTCGCCGTCATAGCGCCACTCATGCACGTCCTGCAGGCGGCCGTGCCGCTCATGGAGGTGCTTGCCATTAAAGACTTGTTTCACCTGCACCGGATCTGCCAACAAGTAGATGTCGTCAAGGGTCGCGAGTACACGGCAGCTTGTGCCACCGGTGACTTGCCGCACTCAAGCATGAAGGTTGAGGCACACATCACCAGTGCCGTTCAGCTCGTCATTCCGTCAGAAGCCCACCCTATTTGCGAAGGACTCATTCTCACGCTCCAGGGCCTCCACTTCACCACACCTCACCTCAGCCCCCGCAAACCTGTCGTCGAGGCCATCCGACTGCCCCTCAAGGAACAACAGGATGTCTTCTCCCTCGAACTCCACGACCTAGAAATCGCCCGCTCCAGCCAATGCCTCACCTCCTTTCTCAAACAAAATACAAAGTCCTTCCTAGGGACTGACCCCGCAGGCGACTGGGAAACGGTTGTTAGACACTACATGCGCATCATAAACAAGTCCGAGGCCACGGTCTCAGAAAGCGTTATCCTCGGCACCGAGAACCAAATGGAAGCCAAGATCGTACCACCTGCCCATCCAACATACCCCACCTCAGGCTGCCCCGACGTCGGCATGTTAGAGATCTTCGACGCCGGCTCGAGTCCCATTGCGGGCACTAGTCCCATTGGGGGCACCAGTCCCCTGAGTGCCGACGCTTCGCCCAGCAGTCTCAATGTCTCCCCCGCCGCCTTTGTGGGAACTCCCCTGATGAACCCAAGTGACCCAAGGGGGCTCTCGCCCAACGGGCTCTCGCCCAATGGACTCTCGCCCAACGGACTCTCGCCCGACGGACTCTCGCCCAACGGTACAGTTTCCCCTAGTCTGACGGGCGTTTCTGGAGAGGGGGAGAGTCTGCCGCAGCGAAGCGGTTTGGGCCACACGTTGAAGCGGAAGTTGGAGGATAGCATTGCAAAGCATCGGCACCATCGCGAGGCCTCACGCGAGGGGCACGGGTCGGCGGCCGCACGACTGATGGAGCGTTTGGGACACCGTCACCACCGGGCGCCGGAGCCGGTGGGAGCGAGTGCTTCAGAGTTGCGGTTGCCTCGGGCAACGGCGGTAGCCAAGTCCTATTTATTGTACCCGACGTCGATTGAGGAGTGTATTATTCGTATGACCCACTTGCCGGCCCGTTACTCGGCTCCGGCAATGCACTTGGATGTCTTCCTAGGTCGTTTGGCGTTGGAGGTGAACAGTTTCGATCTGGCTCTTCTTTCACGCATCGGGTTGCGAGCAGGCACGATGTACGGCGTATTCGCGCCGCAAATGGGCGTCGCGACTCAGCGCATGGCCAACGCCGCTGCCCAGGCTGAGTACATCATACAGAACGTTAAGCCAGTTGTCCCCATGGCGCCAGTGGTCAAAGTGCTAGGCCATAAAAACAGTCTCCAATTCCGCAATCGCAAATCGCAACTCCAGCCCGAAGGCGGCGGCGGCTCGAGACTTGGTAGCGGACTTGGCAGCCGTCTCGGCGACCGTGGACTAGGCGGACGCGGCTCCATGGACCGTGGCGGTCTGAGCGCTGGACGTGACTCTACGGACCGCGGCGTCGGCGACCGCCGTGTCCCGCGTCTCATGGTAACCGGCCCAGATGACGAACGAGACGCTTTGGAATCGCACGCGCGTAGTCGACAGAACGTGGGTCACCAGAGCGCGAGCCACCGCAGTGCAACTGGGCAAAGTGGAGGAGGGCAGAGCAGCAGCGGCCGTGGAGACGAGAGCGAGGCTTCGTACTCGGCGACAGCGTTGCAGCAATTGGAGGAGGACATTGATGGGTTACTAGAGGAGTCGGATTTGGCTGAGATTTTGGGCGCTCGTCAGGCGGCGGCGGAGTTCGCTAAATCGGGACACATGGACTTGGAGGTGCGGCCGGAAATGTTAGTAGCGGAAGACACCCATCGTGCGGTAGAACAATGGAGTCGTTTAAGCAAACATGTCGAGTTTTACAATGGCAGCAATGGCGTGCCGGGTAACTGGAAAGTACAGGCGAGAAGTACTGCGGCGGGAACGACCGGAGTGGCCGAGGACTCGCGGTCGGATCCGGATGGTTCCTTACCGGAGTCGCCTTCTGTGTATTCCGCATCTAGCTCGCCACCGAAACAGACTCTCTGTTCTGAAACGTTGTTGCCTTTGGGCCCGCAGCTCTGGCTGCCTCGGCCTGATAGCGGGTTCACTATCATCCACTGCAAGATCGGCCAAATCTCGGTCCTGGTCTGCTCCGTCCCGGACGATATTCCAAACAACCTCCCGGATCGCGTCGAGACGGAACAAGATGAGAAAACGCGCAGCGCCTGGAACCCCCATGTCACCTATCCCGCAAGACACTTCGCCTACAATCCCTACCAGCTCACCGAGCCACTGGTGTCTGTACATTTGGCCCATATCACGGCCATATGCGGATTCGGGGCCAAAGGTGAAATGACCGCGCGTGTGTGCGTCAGCAATTTAAGAATTAATGAAGAGATGGGAATAACACCTCTAAACATGTCTTATCTTTACCTCGCCTCGCACACCGTGCAGCCCTGCATCCCGCATACAGGCTACGTACGCAATTGGAGCGGCATTTTGCAGGACGAAGGACTTAAGACCATTATGGGTGTGCCGCGCCAAAACGATGACGACGAAATGCCGCTTGTCACAGACCCTATCCGCGAACTGGTGTACTATACCGATTGGTACAGTCGCGAGTGTGTTTCCGGCCATGAGTATGTAGCGGAACAGGAGGAGCATTCTCAGCATATCCGTGTTAACTTTATCGGGAATTTGACGGACTTTTCTAAGGTCTTTGCTACGGTGGATTTCTCTCCCTTTCGTCTCACACTACCGTTGGAGTTCGTGGATGAATTGACGGAGTTTACGAGCAACTTAGCGCTGATGATGCTGAGTCTGGATGACGCGAATCTGACAGCGGTCGACGCAACCGACGAAGGCGCCGCGAACCTGGTCCTGCCTTCGTTCCAGCCAGTCAAGTTCCGGAGTCTGGAGCAAGGCGTGGAATATCCGCAGTTGCCTCTGCCTCCTCTGAATGCGACAAAACCGATTGAGGATCGTATGGTAGAAAAGGGGCATGTGCAGGTGCGTTTTTCGGCAGTCGAGGTCTTCATACCGGTGGAGCCAATCCGGTTACCCAAAGAAGGTCCGAAGAAGAAGGCCAAGTTCGGTTTCGACGAGCCCTCAGGTGCCATGCACCTAGATGTCCAGCAACGACAGCTCAATGAAATGGACCGCCGACTGGCCATGATGACCATCTACCGGTGGAAAGAGGTTGTACACCGCACATTACGCAATCAATCACAGGGCATGGGAGCTTCCCTGTCTCGAAAGAATCAGGCTGTTTTACCGCTGTGTTTTGCGATCCGATGTGGCGTGGACGTAGATATGATGTTATACGGGTATAGTAGCACATTACGCTGTCCGATCGAGTTACAACCGCTCTTCCAGGATGCCCTCAGCTCCCGAACTACTAGCAGGCCTCAGATCTCACCGGACCCTTCTTTCGACCGAATGAGCGTTTCCGATTTAGATGAGAACCCGAGTCGGAAGCAGTTCCGATTCCAGAGAACTTTGGACTCTTACCGCTGGGTGGAGGCATGTCTACGCGCTCCCATCAGCAACCAGCCTCTCATACGCCAGGTTTGTCCCGGTCAGGTGCATGTGAGCGCTACCGTCGAATCGATCACTGTCGACTTTTTGAGGCCATCCTGCTACACACTCTTCTCGATGCCCAAGGTAGCGTGGGATCGCCAGACCCTCTATGCCAACGTACCCGGACCGGGATTGCATCCTGTGGAAATGGCGGACGTAAGCAAGAACCCGTTACTCAGTCCCACAAGTCTCCGGCTCTCCCTCGAGTTAGCATTGCCAGGAGAACGCGAAATGTACGAACGCTTCTACGGCTTCAGCAAAATAGAGGCCATCACAGCCCGCAGATTGTTCGGCATCCCGGACGATTCCCCACCCGAATACATCAAGCTCAACATCGACATTTCCCCTGTGGGGGTTTCCATGAATGAAACCACCATATGCCAACTACTGAAACTCCTCGCTGTCGGAGGCGACCTCGGTGCCCATCTAGGCGAGAAAGCAAGCCGCTACGCGCTCATGACTGAAATGCTGTGCCGATACGATCGACTTGAAGCCACTGGCGCTCCCGACTCGGATGGCACCGACGACGAAAAACCAAAAGCCGGAACCAATTATATCATGCGAGACGATGAGCCAGACGCACAGGCCATGGAAAAAAGGAGCGCCAGAGGAGCCAGTTTCAATCAAGAATCCGGAGCCGCTATAAATCTCCTGGACCGCGGCGATAATGACCACAGGGGCGGAGGGCCGGGTACCGATCCCACGATCGGAGGGAAGTTCGCCCTTCAGGACGACGGTACTGAGAGCACACAACACAGCACGGACGACGACGACGACGCCTACTCCATGACGCAATGGCTCCTCAGCGCAGGAGTCCCGCCCGAGCTGGCGCCTGGACTGTTCGGGTTTAACGTCAGCACCAGTTGGGAACTTGTAGAGATTGACTTCAACATGCCCTTGGTCCGCATCACGCTTTGGGATTGCGACCGAGAGGTCGGATTCCAGAAAACGGGGCCGACGCTATTCGATATTGCAATCACAAACACGCGTGTGCAGGCCGTGTGCAGACCGGTTTCCTCGTTGTCTCAGCCGCCTGAATGGTGGGGTGAGATCAACAGCGGCGAGGAGCTGTTGGCGGGCACGGATCTGATCGCATTGTCGTTCGTCTCATACGACTTTGACCCGTTGTTTAGCAATCCGTATCGGATCAAACCGATTCCGAAGAACGGGTTGTATTATGCGTTGAAGACGGTGGCGAAAAATTACTATGCGACTTACCGCATAAGCAACCAGGGGGGCGGCATGCAGGGGCTGACTGACGATCAAATGGACATCACTTTTCGTGGGCGCATTGACGATATTGAGAACAAGATTGCGGCTGCGTTGCCGTGGCTGTGTTTTGACGGAGGCACGTTGATAGCGATTAACTGTTCGGGTAACAAGCAGTCGGAGACCAAGCAGATTTCGCTGTTGGAGCCGATGACTGTACGTTTCATTGGAGGGAAGCGAAGCCCGAAGAGTCAGATGCACGTGACGTCGGAGATTTCATGGGTCAACTTAAGCGTCAGTTTGTTTCTGTTAGATTCGTGGCTTAAGTTTGCGCAGGAGGTGTTATGTCAGGAAGTGCCAGAGGAGATGAGTCGCCTAAAGCTGCAGGCATACCTCCGGTCCTGTCATAAACGTCTTAACAAAATGTCAGGTTTTAGTCGACCGAAGTCGCGCACAGTTTCAAGTTCTAAGTCCAAGCTGGGTGGGGGAAATGCGTTCGGAACGTGTACGACGGACAGTTTGGTGCCTTCCTTCATTGCGTCGCGGGCGGCGATGTCCAGTGTGCGTCACTGGGTCTTGGGCCAGCCTCGCGAGACGACTCCTGCTATGGTTGAGGAGACATGGAGTGGTGTAAAGTTTTATCTGCGTCCATTAGGCTGTTGGGATCCGCACAAGGCACTGGCCAAGACCTTTACCTCGATCAGTCAGTCCTTGGGTGCTACTTTTTTTGCCCAAGGTAAGGCGATTGCGAGTGGACAGTACGTAGCTACCACGGATTTTCCTCTATTGCCAGATAAAGGTATTCGTGAAGTGAGCAAGACTGACATGGCGGCTGCACTACTTACAAATCTGGCTGGCGGGAGCGCCGTCTCTGCCTCACCGGGTAAGGCACTCCCAGTCCTGGAGCTGGTTAACTTACTGGGTCAGCCGTTGGGGGTTTATGTGAAGAAGTCTGCTGCCTCGGATCCCACGCTTGAAGACTGGCATGTAGTCCAACCCAACCAATGCTTTGCTGTCCCGGTATGCCTTGTGGGACAGGAGGTGGTCTTGAGTGATTTTTGTCTACGCTTGCGATTGATGAATGAGGTCTTTGACTTACGCTCCACGGTCGAGTTGCGTGCGTTCGCAGAGAGTGTCCAGAGCTACATTTCCGAGGAACTCTTTGCGCAAAAACAAGGCAAGGCGCTGGTCAAAAAACCGAAGGGCCGTGTGAACTATTATACACTCAGTCTGGCGGGACTAGCACAGGCGGCACAGGCGACACAGACTGCAGTGACCCAGGCGGAAACGCCCTCGCGAAAGAAAAAGCGCTGTCGAACAAAGCTATGTCCGAACGGACTGGCTATCGGTGGACGACGAAAGAAACCGGGACATGTGGTCGGAGAAATCGGTGTTCGACGCAAGCTGCCTTTACTCTGTCGATTGCGGACGGCGATGTTAGATGTCAAGTTGCCGGTGGCTAATAGCCAACGGTCTATCGACTTGCAATGGGGTTTCCAGATGTTATTGAGTTCCACCTTCTCGGCTAAAAACATGACGCAAGAGTCCTTATGTTTAGCACCGATCTCTCCGTCAGTGTCGGCGCAGGAGCTTAAGCAGTGCGCAGCTTCCATGACGGCGTCCTGCGACGAGATAATTCAGGCTCCGACAGGTTCGACTTTCCGACATTGGCTTGAATCCCGCGAGTGCGCCGCCCTCCTATACCGTCTCCCTCCGCCAGCACCGCCTTTGGACGGTGAGCCCGACTGGGTCACGGTGCCGCAGGAGGCAACGACGGCTGTCCGTCGTGCGGCCACACTAGAAGGCGCTGCTGCACTCGAAGGGTATCTACAAAACGACCTCAGTGCGCAGTCCGACGACTCATCCGGCGAATGGCAAACCATCGTGCAAACCCTTCGCCGGAAAGCGCTTAAACAACCGCTCATCGACGGCATCTCCTGTCTCCTTCTTCCAGCCAACAATAATGCCGACCCAGAGTCAACTCTAGACGCACCCCGCCGAAATAGCGTTGCCACCGGCAGCCCCTGGCCGGCCCGGTGTCCACGAGCCTACCCACTTTACTGGCTTCTCGCCAAAAACTCCTACGTGGCTGCCGTAGACCCGCGATCATTTAAAGCGCTCAAGACCGCTGCCAGGACCGCACTCGGCGGTCCAGATGACCCCGCTCTCGGCGGTCTGGGCCATGGCCAGGGCGGCAGTGGCCAAGGCGGCAATGGAAATGAGCCTGGCGGGGGTGCGGACAGTCGGGAACAAGGCGGTTGGGGTCGGGAGCACGGTGGGGGTCGCGACTCGGTGCCGGAGAACGGGGGTTTGTTGGCGCCGAGTAGTCGGCAGTTTCTGTTCTACTTGGCGAGTCAACCTCAGAAGTTGGGGCCGTTAATGGTGAGTCGCGAGGTTAACCGGTTATTGGCGCATTACGAAACATTGGCGAGTAAATCAGACATTGCGTCTTTGACCCGTTATGTGCATCGATTAGATCCGAAGCCACGTGTGATGAAATTGGCGGTGGCAAAGGCAAGCGAGCCAACAGCCGGGGCTTCAGCCTCAGTACCCCCTGCGGGTGGAGCGACCTTGGAGGAGGCGGCATCACCTGCGTCATTATCGGGTGGTGTGCGGCCGGACTTTAATGAGGCGAAGCATTATTCGGTCTCGCAGTCGGTGGTGGCCGCGGACCCGTACATGCTGGCTGGGGACGGGGTGTGCGTGCAGACGGTGATTGCGCCGTTGTTTGAGTTTTCGAATCGACTGCCACGCGATGTGCAAGTGAGCAGCGCGCGAACGGCAAGACGGATTGCGCGTATGGCCCGTATGGAGATGATGGAAACGGGAGGTGTGTCCAGCATCAGCGCAACTGACCTAGGTAATGTGGGTGGTTCTACCTACATCCATGCCGGCGAAAGCCACCTGTTGCCTTTAGCTGAAAACGGGATCGAATTTACCTTCGGATCCGTCAAGACGCTAGGTTCCATCTCAGTCGACCTGCGCAACCACGAACAGGAGACGCTCGAGCTTGTCTGCCGCGCCGTAGAACCGTCATTACGGCGACGCATGCGCCCGAGCAAGCTGGCTGATCTTCGTGACAACTTGCTAGCGCCGAGCGAGAGCTTTTCTAAGTCTGAGATGGACAAGACCACGGTCGTGCTCGAGGACGGGACCTCGCCGGAGGAGGATTTCAACATCTGTCTCGAGGTCTCGCCCGCCAACGTACAAACGGTCGGCTGCGGCGGTGAGGTGGTGGCCCGTGATACCGAAAGCGTGGTTGTGAATTGCCGATGCTACATGAAGACTTTAACGCTTTTCTCTGATCTCTGGATCGTCAACCGTCTGAGCTACCCGCTCGCGGTGAAGGCCAAGCCGGCGGTCGAGCTTTTGCCACACAAGCGCGTGGTCGCGACGGCAGGTTTATCGCGAGCGGGTTCGGCCAAAATGAGTATTGACAAACGCACGTTTGCCCAAATCCCTGGCGCCAAGTATTTCCTGAAGGCCGAGAGCATTGGCGATGCCCTCGGCGATGCCCTCGGCGGAGCCATCGGCGAAGCCATTGGGGTCAAGAGCGGCTGGCGAGCGGGCTTTTCGTCGACCGCATCCGTATTGTCCGATCCGGTCAAGTTTAGTAGCTCGCTAAGCGTGGCGACACCAGTTGATTTCCCGGCCACAGACAGCACCCCTGCTCTCTCCCTTTTAGTCTGGATGGCGCGTGCTCCCGCTCCCTTCTTGAGGACCAGCACGGTGGAGGTGATGCCGGCGTATGTCTTCGCCAACGACTCGGACGCCGTGTTATACGTGCGCGAATCTCCGTACAAAGCGAACTGGATGAAGGACCAACGGGTGGAGCATGGCGCTTTTCTCGCCGTGCCGCCAGGGGCTAGAATTGAGTTCCACCCACAACGCAAAAAAAAGAATGGTTCCATTCGAATTCAAGTTAGCGCACTACCCGAAGTGGAGCGTTTCCATCAAGTCGTACTGCAGCAAAGTGCGAACAAGACGGGGGCTGTCAACGATGCAGACGCCCCGCTCTGGTCGCAGCCGATCCAGATCTCCAATGCACAAGTCATCCAATTACGCTATCCCACCATCGATTCGCCCGCAGTCAGTGTAGGCGCGTTCGGATTAATTGACATCTCCGTGACCATGAAGAACGGCGTTCGTCTCATCAGTTTCATGCCCTCCCACGTACCCGAGTTCCGGCTCTGCAACCTCAGCTCCGTCGCACTCGGCGTTGCGCAACACAATCTCCATGGCCCCTTCGAGATTCTTAAGCCGTTGGCCGCGCGCCGAACACACAATCTCGAACACCCGGCACTCGAAAAGGTAGCGGGTACTTGGGAAACGGCGCGCCTCCTGAACCGCTCCATCCCCTTTGCCTTTACGACCGCGATCTGCCCGCGGTGGTTCAGTTCTGGGTCTGCACACCTAACAACCGCAACCGACGAAAACCCGGAACCGGCGGCCAGCCGGCCCGACAGGGCCGGTCAGACGGCCGAGCGGATAGGAAGCACGGCGCAGCACGGGTCGTGCTGCAGAAACGACGTCAGGGCGTAAGCATGATTGATTTAGTAGATTACGATACGGTCAAAGAAGGAATGTTAATCAAACTGGTTGGCGGAAACAAACGCAGTGACGAGCTTAAACAACTCGAAGCCGCCTTTGCGCAGATGAGCGAGGTCACGGACAAGGATCTACGTGCTTGGAATGCTGCCAAACAACAGTTCGGACGTCTCTTCGAATTAAACAAACACTTCGAACAAATGAGACGACGAAAGCTCGCCGGAGGAACCGTCACTGACCGCCTAATGTTCTTGCCCGTACCCGGTGGCAACATCGTTCCAATCCGCATTAAATTACGTTTCGTTTCCGGTGTCAAATGGCTCATTCTTGAAAACTTCCGAGGCCAACTTCCTCGTGTGCCGCACCACAAACTACGTGGCTCAGGGCACCCCGGTGGCCCGCCTCCGGGTCCGCCTCCGGGTCCACCACGGGGACATCGAGGGTTCGAGCAGCAAGCGGCTCAAGCACGGGAGGCCGAAGAGACGGCGAAACGCGAGTTCGAAAAACGACGAAAAGTGAACGAGTTGTGGCTGCGTATGCAGGGTGGACAGGACTGCGCCGTGGAGCTGGCCACGCTCTGCAAGTATGAACGGGTGCAGCTAGACGAAATGCAGCGTGTCTTCCCCTTCGGCAGCCGCACAGCCAAAGACACCTTCAGTGCTGCCTTCGAGAAAGTCACCGGCCTCAAATTCGTCCACGACCTCAGCCAGGGTCGTGGCGGTCAAGGTGCTCAAGGGCAAGGTGCTCAAGGGCAAGGTGGTCAAGGGCAAGGTGGTCAAGGACAAGGTAGGGGTGAACCTACGACGGAAGGGGGGGTGTTGAGGAGTGATGTGAGTTCAGCGAGTTCCGCAACTCCAAGTGCAGTGGACATTGCGGGCGGTGCCACCACGGATGATGCGTTCGAAATCGAGCCGGTACCAGTGCCTGGGGCGAGGGTGAAAAAGACCGATGATGACGTGGCTATAGCGGATGGAGATCTGATCGTGAACCCATTGGAAGATGAGGTTCCGGAAGTTTCGTCTACATTTGCTGCCGACTTAAGAATTGATGGTTTCGGATTGGATGTGGTTGACCACCGGTTATCTCGGGACTTATTGTACGTGTCATTGGCACGGATAGCGTTGACTTGTCACTCTGATGGGTCGGAGACGTTTAAGTTAATGCTGAGTGTTGGTTGGTGCCAGATCGATGCGACTTCTAATGACAGTTACTACCCGACTGTGTTACGTCCGTTGCGAGACCTGCATCATAACGCAGCCCGTGCGGCGGCAGAGGATGAGGAGCATGAGGAACAGGAGCAGCCAATCCTAATTCTGCCGGGCGAAACTTCGCAGAACACTTTCGCTTTCGATGACCCCAAGCTGTTCGACCCGCTCTTGCTGGAACGTTTTGGCGGGAATGAGAACTTTGAATTCCTTCGTGTTGTGCTCGAAAATCGCATGGCCCAGCCCATCAGTGACACGGAAACGATTCTGCAAAAATTTGTAGCACACACGCGCGAATTGGACACACACAAAAAGAAACCTCGAGAAGAACAAGATGCTCCGCCTACCCCTGTGCAACGCGAGATAGCCTCCGCAAACCGGCCGGATGACGACAGTTCAGTGTTTGCTAGCCAACGCGGGGCAGTCGTGCTACCGCCGAGTGTGGGTCCAACGGCAAGTGGTGCAGCGTTGATGGATATTCCATTGTGTGCCATTGACTTGTGTCCGATTGCGGTGAACGTCGATTACCCCTTGATTCAGGCGATGATGAAGTTATTGGATCATGCGATGGTAATTTGTGACAAGTACTCGCTTGACTTGGTCCAGGGCGATCCGAGCGAGATCCAGCAGTCGGATCGGCAGCCGTATTCGGAGCCATGGAAGAAATATTTGGGTGGTACTGATTGTCTGTTCCGTACCAAGGCAGTGCTGATGAAGGTGTCGTTGTCCTCGTTGGATATTGGCGAGATCCAACTGATTCTGAATATCAACCTAGGCTCACGTGGTGTCCGCAAACTCAAACGGGGACCACAGAGCAGCGCCCTGGCAGCCGCGACAAGTGCTGAGGGGGAGGGTGAATGGGAAGAGAGTGGTACAAGTTCGGTTCTGAAGAAAACTAGCGATGGCCACGAGATGATGAGCGCCTTCGTACAGGGCAATCAGGACCCAGCGGTGGTCGCGAATGGAGAATTAGCGCCGGGTATTCGACCAGAAGACGATGAGCCAGTGGAATCTGAGTTTGTTAAGGCCATCTTAGGAGTGTTACAGCTTAAGGCCTCGCTCTCTGACGCACAGATTCAGCTCCCCAGTATGCAATACCGGGACCTTACGGGACCTTCGGATGAGGTGGCTATGGAGATTATTACGCCCTACATCACCAAGGCGGCGAAGCAAGTGGCTAAGGTACTGGGTGCCATCGACTTATTCGGCAATCCATCGCTGGTCGTGAGACACTGTACGGGTGGGGTCTCACGTGCGATTACGGAAGTACGTTTTGGTTGCTTCCGTTCCACGAACTCGTACCAACGATTGCATCCAAATATTGCCATACGTTCACGTGCATGTCAGCAACCTTGTCTGGCCGTGTTCTTCGCTCTCCGTCATTCTGTGGTGGGTTTGAGTTCTGCTTTACTGGAATGTGTCTCACGCTGTCTTGGCTCTTGGACCCAATTGATGGAGACGGCTTCACGAAATGGTGACCAATTCTCCATAAGACCTGGTGCCACTTCAAAGGTAAACAGTGGCTCAATCATTGATCAGCCAGCGAACATATTCGAAGGACTGCGCATGGGATTAAGCACCGGGCTTTATCTGGCGACACTATCCCTGACTAATTTTCTTGCTAAGCCATGTCGCGGTCTGGTGGCTGCTTTTGGTAAAAAGCGGGATGCAGATCTGTTGGATTCGGCGGGCTATGACTCAGACGACGACGAGGAGTTACTACCACTTGCAGACGCAGATGCGGATGCAGATGACAATGATTCACTCCTGGAACAAAGGTTCGGTTCCCGTGCCGCCAAAGCTGCAGGTACAATATCCTGTGCCGCGCTCTCTGCCGTTGGCTCCTGTCTCTTCGGCCTCCCCTCAGCTCTCTGCGCCTGCTGCTCCCTAACGGCTGGCGGAGCACTTCAAAACATCATTAAAATACCCATGCTTTCCAGCGTACGCTCAAGACGTGTCTTCTTCCGACCGGCCGGGAACAACACCTTTCAAACTATGCGCCAGTTCGAACCTCACTACGCTCTCTGGGCGGCACTAGGATCCAATAGCGCTAGACTTTCGCGTTTCCTCGGCATTTCGCGCACCAGTCCACTTCTCAAAGCACACACCAACGTCGTCCTCACTCTTCCCCTCGCCACGCTCGACACAAAGACCGGGCAAGCCGCACCTGCTGTCCTTCTTCTGGGCACCCAAAAAGTCGGACTCATGACCAAACGAGGTGTCCGATGGCACCTCCCCTGGCGCCATCTTGCACTCGTCGAATTCGTCGCATTCCCCACACCGGCCAACGTACCCCACCACCATCCCCTCGTCACAGCCCTGCGCTTCACTCTCGCCGGAAACAAATCAACCGAAGACCCGTTCGTCATACTCAACGCAGATCCTACCATCGGCTGGGACCAGTTCCTACTCGCCGCCAGCCTCTTCCTCGACCTCTCACCTCCAGCCTGACCGACCCCTCGCCTTCCCCCAGAAGACCGCCCCCCGAGGGAACCCTCTCCCTTACCCCAAGGGCTTTACCCTCCCCCCAGAAGACCTCTCTAGAGGCCTATCCACCAGCCGTGACTCTGACCCCGACCCTGACAACTGATTACATTTTTTGGTTCAACTGAGAAGGTTCATTCATTGTTCCTGCTGTCTGGTCACTCGGCTGCCTGGTTACTGTTTCTTGTCCTGGATCTCGACTTCGTCGTCCAAAGAATGGGGCACGAATGCGTTGGGCAGGATCTGGAGTGTGGTTTCGGATGAGGTGAGAAGCGTGTCGTGTTCCAGCCAGCATTGAATGACGGGGAAGTCGCCGTACTCCACGAGGCCTTGGCGACAGGCTCCGCATGGTCGACCGTAGTCCGGAAGCTTGGTACAGACGACAGCGAGTTTGACGACTCTTCCGAGTCCGGATTTGCTCATGGCTGAGCAAAGTGCGGACCGTTCAGCGCACAGACCACTACCCAACACATGATGCTCAACGTTGGCACCGACGGCGACATCTAACTTACCCGCGCGGTTCATGTATAGCACCGCCGCACCGACCGGGAAGTGGCTAACCGGAGTGTAGCACCGGCGACAAGCCTCGACCGCCAACTGCGCCAGCGCCTCGTCCGTCAACCCTGCCGCCGGCGGCAACTGCACTGGAGCGGGCAAGGTAGCTGTGACGGTATCTTCGTGCCAGGCCTTCTGCAAAAAGGGCGAGGGGCGGAATGCACCCGCGAAGGGACCGGGTAGCAGCTGAGCCAGTGTCTGCGTCACGCTCTGCTTCGAAGCCGCGTGCAACACACTCACCGGCGTCTCCGGCGTCACGAACGACTTCAAAAATTCGAGACAGCAGCCGCAAACGGCCCCCGTGGTGCTCGAAACCGCCACCTCCGAGATCTCCATCGCGCCACGGGCCAAAGCGGCCACGACCGCCGCCTTCACCGCGCAAATCGAGTTGGGGTACGCGCAATTCTCCAAAGATCCGCACTCTACAATTTCACCCCGTTTTCTACAGCGAAGGCCAGGGACCGACCGAGTTTACGCTAGGAGGGACGACAGCAGGGGTGACTGTGGCAGATGGGAGGGGTGACAGCGGTGGAGGGTTGACAGCGGCGGAGGGCCGTTTGGGTCGGTATGGCGTTTTTAGCGGCCATTGATGCGCAAGCACACACGTGTGCTACAGTTGGTGAATGGTTACTTATGACCCCGCAGTCCGTCAGGAGGGCACAGCCGCATGGCTCGTGGGAGTAGGGCGCGTAGCAAAGTCCTTCCGCGGCGAAAGAAGCTTCTTGGACCAGTGATTCGAGCATCCCAATTTTTAGGGTGCCCCGTTAGCACACGCCATGATATTGTCAAAGTGGGTTGTCTTCATCGCAGCCGCGGCTGATTGGACGCCAGCACATCAGTTGGGAGGTCAGGCGGGTTTGATGATTGACCGGCCGCCATCCCAGACGGGGATATACCCTGCGGCGAGCGGCTACCGTCAGCCGCAACATGCGCAGCACCAACCGCCGTCGCAGCCTTGGACGCCAATGACTGGCGATGATCGACAGGCGTTGCAGATTGGGGAGCAGATCTTGCAGGGGGTGCCAGCCATGCAGAGTCCGAAAAAAGAGCCAGCCAAGGAGGCCGCCTACCAAAACTATCTGGCACAAGAGAAGGAGTTGGCTGACGCGCAGAGACGTGCTCAGGAACAGGAATTTGCTTACAAACAGAAGCTGAACGCCCAGGAGGCGGAGCTAATTGCCATGCACGCGCGGGAGGCACAGAAACATCGCTCATCGTTGCAAACAGAATACCGGGCGGCCAAAGAGAGGGAAGAATCAAAGAGGCCGAACAAGCGCGAAGTGGGCGTTCTCTATCAAGTGAACCCACAATTCACCGAGGACCAGCTCCGAGCTGTCCGGCTCCACACCGGACTCTCTCCCCCAGATATGAAGCCCGTAATCGGTGACTTCGGCCTCGTCTCGCAAGCCAGCGCCCTTCCCGTGGAAAGGATCGGAGGCGCCCAAATGCAACCTGGTCAAATAGCCTCTCTTGCACATGGACCCAGCCCCGCCCAAACCGGTGTTTCAAACGCCGAACGCTCACTCCTGCAAGCCTGCAACCCTGTCGAAGTCGATAAGGTATTCACTGTCTGGTTAAGAGCTATAAAAGAGGCAGCCTTCAACTACTAACAACCACTCGGAACGCGCTAGCAAGCTGTTTCGACCTTCAAGCGACTAGTAAGGGGCCCACCTTCAAGTAAGGGGCAGCGCTATCCCCGCTGCTAGTGAGCAGCCTGAACCTTCAACTGCTGAAACACTTGCTTTTTAATCCACTCCCTGCCATGGGGAACGTACACATCGCGCTCCATTCTACATACAAATCAAAAGTCACATGTACTCCGTAACCAGTATACAACACCGCATGTACGACCCGTGTACAAGTGTGCGCGCACACTTGGTGCCTCACACACTTGGTGACACACTTGGTGCTCACACCCTTGGAAATGAACGTAAGGGTAGACCAGCAGGGTCCGGGCCAAGCGGTCCGGGCCAAGCGGTCCGTAAGCCACAAGACAACGTAGCCGCGAGATAACATGGTTCTAGAGTTAGGACGGCAGCTTACATTAAAAGACAAATATCGTACAGCTGATCTATGAAGTCGAACAAGTTCTCGACGGTATAGGTAGCGTCCACGCCCGCGTAATTCGTCAGCTTAAGCTGCTGCTCGTAGTATTGACAAATACCTGAAGTGGTAAGCGCGTATATCAAACAGCTGGTGGCAGCTTCGCCAGTAGCAGCACGCGCCCGAAAGTGTGTGTTAGAAACTATGCGTGTGTTGTCAGGAGCACGTTTGTGTGCCGGAAGATGGGGATAGTTACTGTCGACAGCGGCGCCGATGTCCTTGTGGCCCGCCCAGGTGGCGGATTCCGGGCTGGCGGTGAATTGCGTCAAAACGAGGACCGAAGCCATCTTTTTAAAAATCGATGCAGTGGACGAAGGTCGCGGAGTACGAGCTGGAACAGGCAGCCCGGCCGGTTCGTCGCGCGAACCAGCCGTTGCCTCAGGAGCGGGAGGTATATCTTAAGCAAGGTGCTTTGTTCTTCAAGTCGTCCCGAGTCGAAGCTCTCGAGAGCCTCAAAAATAAAACCGCGCAACCTCCGATGGAAGGAGCACAGCACTCTTTAGAACGCCACCCGCCGGGAGGGGCTGATTGAGCTCGCACCCGAGCTGAGGTGCTACCGCCCTAGACGAAGCTGCCGCGCCGTCGACGGATTCGGCTGCCGAATCCGCCGACGGCTGCCGCTCTGGAGGCGACTCGGCCGCCGTCAGACTGCTCCGCCGTCTAGAGCGTCGTGTATCTTGGACTTCGATAAGACGCGACCCTGCGAGCAATGAGCGCGACCAAACCAATGCTCATAACACCGCCAGCTCCCCAGAGAACGCCGAACTCACCGACTACCGAACAACAGGTAGTAAAACACGGAACAGGCAAAGTATGAAGGAGGTGAATGATAAGGAGGGTAGTGATAGCAGAGGAGTGTATCACCGGAGTGTCGCCCCCCCAGACCCGCACAATGCACACATCCGCAGTGCACACACACACACCTGTAGCGCATGGCGAGAGAGTGGACGCCACGAGTGTTTGATTCGGTGCTGGCTGGATTCACGGTTGCGGTAGTGTAGACTTGTGCTTAACTGGTGGGTATAGTTCGACCAACTATGGGCTGTTGAATTTTTTCGAGTTGGATGAGGCTATCGTACGAGTCTAAGGAGAGAGTTACGGCTAAATACAAATTAGTTATATACCAGCAGAAAGACGAGAGGCGTCTTGTTGATCGTCATCGATTATGACGCGGGATTTATGTACGGGACAGTCCGCAGACACGAAACCAATCATCGAATTTTCACGATCGAAGATCACCTGCTTCTGCTTCAAGAAAGACATTCCCAAAATCGTCTGTGACCTTCGATTGTTTTCCAGTGCAGAACACCACACACTAAACACAACAGCAATCCAGGGTGTGTGGGGACTGAAAGTGTGTGTGCACTGAAAGTGTGTGTGTGCACTGAAAGTGTGTGTGCGCACTGAAAGTGTGTGTGCGCACTGAAAGTGTGTGCGCACTGAAAGTGTGTGTGCACTGAAAGTGTGTGTGCGCACTGAAAGTGTGTGCGCACTGAAAGTGTGTGTGTGCACTGAAAGTGTGAATGGGGACTGAAAGTGTGAATGGGGACTGAAGTGTGAATGGTAGTTTACGTGTCTGGTTTTCCTGGAATAAGTAGGATTCAGGGTTCCATTCAATTACAGCGCCATCGGTGAGCTCTAGGCTGAGCGAGGGCAGTCTTTGTAGGAGGTGGGGATGGGTAGCTGGTAGCGGAGAGTCGAAGCAGACCAAGTCTTGTTTGGACCTCATACACTGGCCGGCTCGTTGGTCATCCCGGGCAACATTATTGTTATTACAAACGTCAATT